TTTGCCACGGCGCAAGCGTATCTACCACATGTCAGTTGATCCGTAGTTGACGGGAAGCAGACCACATGCGCCTGGCTCTGACAGATGGCATCCAGCATAAGATCTTCTCCACGCCCACCACAGATGGCGGGAAGGCGCTTCATCAGCATGGATGGTCGGTTGAAATGACCTGAAAGACTAGTTGAATGATCGGGCAAGCTTTTGAGAACGCGCATCTCCATGAGCGATAATGGCGTTTTTGACTCCAGCCCTTGTTGTTGCAAAAGCAAGGTGTGGAAGGAGAAGCTTTCAGGCAACAACTACAGCTTCGAGGGCATCTACAAGGCGAGGAACCTGACTCTTTTTCTTAGGTTCCTGGGGTGAGGAACAGTAACCAAAGCTGCATCCCAACCGACATCCAGATGTTGCCAAACTATTGAAGGGGCGGACTTGCTCTTTCCAAAAGGTAGCTCGCTGTCTTGACTGTCTAACTTTCTCTAGGGAAATGCCATTTATCAACAGATGTTGCCCACCCTTTCTGAACCTGTCCTGTGACCTGACATGATTGAGAAGGCCAACCAGCCACTGGACGTCTCCAAGTGCACTCAAGCAGCGAACGCCTCGCATGACACGGTCGGAAACAAGGTGATGAATCTTGGACGCATGGCGTTGTGGACTGGAAGGGCGACACACCTTGTTTGTGTTGCCGAGGCCAGTCTCGGCTTTGTCCACCATGTTTCTCTCCATGTACAGCTGCTGCACAGCCCGGTAGCAAGACAAGCCTCCTTTGAGGGCGTTTACCTTGCTGCCACTGCTGGGCAGTAGCCTTGAGTTCGTACAGGAGGCAACTGTCTAGCAGCTCGTCACCTGATCCTGCAAGGAAGCTGCAGCCTGACTAGCACATAAGCCAAGGCACAGGCTACATTTGTACTTGACAGTCTGTGCTGCGGCATGCTGCGGCCACTTTGCAGCTTGGAGGTTGCGCCGGACAGGAGTGTTTACTAAGGCTGCTGTGTTTGAGTCAAGGAACTAAGTTGAGCTGCTTTGACCCAGCAACCTCTAAGATTCATTCTTGGTAATGCACTGCAGATGCCAGAAAAGATCTGGGCATCTGCGAGGAGCGAGGGATGTGAAGGTGGACAGACACCAAAAGAGATCCGAGCATCCATCGCCCCTGGCAGCTTTATCGCTTTGCTTAATAACACCTCGGCGAACGCGCGTTGAAAACGGCCGATGGTTCAGTCCTGGTCACCCAAGGCAGGTGCAGCTTGGTGATGAAAATTGCTTTGTGAGGGAATTCTTGTGGCTTGTAGTACTGTGCCATGTGCCTGGGGTCCGACCAAGGCGCAGAAGCAGACCTTGAAAGGAGCAAAAGGCGCGACCTCAAGGCCATCAACCGCTCGGGGCCTAACGCATCCATCGCAGCTTCTGAGGCTTCGCCAGTTTGAAGCTGTTTTGCAGTAATCTTGATGGCAGACCGAAGAGCTCAGGTGTAGATGCTTTGAAGATGGAAGCGCGCGACGAGTTGGAGCTTCCCTGGCAAGTTGGCAGCTGCTTGGGTGATGGTCAAGGACGCTGAGATAAAAGCATCAGCTCTTCTTGTCTCAAGTAATCTCAAGCCCCAGCCGTGCACAGTGCATGGCACGATCAGCGATCCCATGTCAATGCCTGACTCGTATGATTGGCTGCTGGGCCAGGTCCTTCATCCAAAACCCGTATCCGGTGCCGCTGAAGCAGGCATATTGGGGTCCTATATAGGGATAATGGAAAATGAGATGGAAACTACTCTAGTAGATTGGGGGTACATATAGGGATACTGGAAAACAAAATGGAAACTACCTTTACCAGAGTGGGGTTACATGTAGGGATAATGGAAAATAGAATAGAAACTACTCTAGTAGATTGGGGTTACATAGAGGGATAATGGAAAATAAAATCGAAACTACTCTAGTAGATTGGGGTCACATATAGGGATAATGGAAAACAAAATGGAAACTACTCTAGTAGATGGGGTTATATATAAGGATAATGTAAAATAGGATTGAAACTGCTCAAGTCGATTGAGGTTACATATAGGGATAATGGAAAACACAATGGAAACTACTCTAGTCGATTAGGGTTATGTATAAAGATAATGGAAGACAAAATGAAAATACTTTTGGTAGAGTGGGGTTACACATAGGGATAATGGAGAATAAAATGGAAACTACTGTAGCTGATTGGGGTTATATATAAGGATGATGGAAAATAAAACGGAAACTACTATAGTAGATTGGGGTTACATATTCGGATAATGGAAAATAAAATGGAAACTACTATAGTAGATTGGGGTTACATATTGGGATACTGGAAAATGAAATTGAAACTACTCTAGTAGATTGGGGTCACATATAGGGATAATGGGCTTCAAGGTATGGTCATGATGTTGTTTGGAGCCACTCTCACATGCTCATGTGAGAGTCTCCAACCCCGCTACAAGTAACTGGGGCTCGCTTTTGACCTGATTCTAGGTCTCTGTCTCAAACATAGCAAAGTTTTCTTATCAAAGTGATGTAGTAAATGCAATATCCAGAAAGGATTCGGCAAGGCTCTGTGTATCCCAGTACTGTACCGATACCCCAATACTGTACCAATACAAATTTCAAGAGTCTCCAAAATCCATCTTTCAGCCTCATGCAAAACCTACACCACGAAAACCTTAAACCCAAGACCCTGAAGCCTAATTCAGTTTTGGCAAACTTTCATGTGCGCAGCTGTCAGGTGCTGGCCGGTCGCCTCCGCCCAGTGCCCACGGCGCATCCCTTAGCCATAGTTTGCTTAGATGAGCCCGTTTAATGGGTCATGTAGTGACCATGTAGTTTGGTAATGTTTGGTACCCTCATTCATCTCTGGCCCCCCCGCCCTCCCTGCCCCCCACAGAATTGGAGAGAAAATTAAAGCGAAGCCAAAACATAGCATACAGGGTCTCTTCCTTGAAATGAGTGCAGCATAGCAGGCTATGTAGGCATGCTATATAGCGAGGGCTTAGAGTGGAGATCTTCAAGTCTAGAGGTATACATATGACGCGATCCCTTGGCAACTCAAGGCTTCACGGATAAGAGACCGGTGGTTGCGCAGCAGAGGGAAAGTCGAGCAATGAGGTGTCTGAGCTGCTGGCTGCATACAAGGACGCACGCTGGTCCTGCAGTAACAGCTGTGACCTGCCTTTCCTCAGGCTGGGAGAGGTTGAGTCAGGGCATGGTGCTTGTCCAGGACCAGCGAGAGGAGCTTGAATTCCTTGAGAAGGAGGACATTCCGATGCGGGCGGGGCCCCAAGCCAGGGGCCGTAAGCCCCGACACGGAGCTCTGTACATCTTTTCGTAACCGAAACTGAGACTCCAGAGTACTGAAGCCTCGTGCATTGAGGAAGTCAAGACTATGATTTGCTTTGGCGAGGCACAGCTATGCAACCAGAGCATCTTCCAGTATGTCCGGGACATCCAGCTCAAAGCGGAGGCTGCGTGCTTTACCAGACTTTACCAGTTTACCACGTGCTGAAAGCTTGCAGCCCGTATCAAACTTTGAAGCTCCTGGATGTCAAAGGAGCAGCGCATGCGTCCACCCGAACCAGTGGCTGGGGCCAGGCCCTCATTGCGCCGTGCGCTATGTGTCTATTTCCTCGCTCGGAGTTGCATCCATCCATAGCTCCCTTGGAATATTGTGAATTGCGGCTGAAGCCCTCAAAAACTGCAAAAGCATCTTTAACTGATCCTGGAATCTTAGGATCTGTTGCGGACGGTCGGCAAGAAGAAGCAAGCGCCAAGTCGGGGCCTAATCGACATCAGATCACAGAGGTAGGGTGCACAGTTACCGCCCTTATCTCGAGCCTCACATTCCCAGCACACCCTGCAGAGCGTGCCAGCTTCGACATGTGCGTTCTTCTGATGAAAGCCCTCATGTGCCCTGCCCAGCCTCGCCGGTGAACCGGCGGACCAAGCGTGTTGGCACGCGAGCGTAGTCACAAGGGCACCGGCATTGGCATCACGAGCCACAGTAGATGATCAGACCGCAAACTTTGGTCCCCTCCTGCCTCTCCTCCACAAGCATCTAGGGGTGTTGTGGCTGATGGTGCGCAACGCACGTGCGCTCTTGAAGTTTCACACTGGTCTGCAAGAATCAGAAGTTGTTTTTGAAGGGCAAAAGAAGCTGGTTCCGTGGCAGTACAAACACGGCAAAAGACTTCTTCAGACCAGCATCTCACCTCGACCATAGAAAGGTCGAATGTTTCACGAATCCAAACGCTGCGCGAAAACACAAATGCATTTGCATGAGTGCAGCAAGGCATGCTATATTAGTAACAGCATTTTCTTGTAGTTGTAATCGCTGCGCGCCGTCCGCCTTGGCCTGGCTGAGCGCGCGGTGCTGAGGAAGTAGATGGTGTACAGCTATGTGACGGAGCATTGTGGGGGTTGGGTGGGGTGCTTGGGAGGGGGAGACGGGCAAGGGATATCTGGGGTCTAGGGGTCCCTTGAAGGGACATTCAAGGTTAAGCAGTCCTTTGAAAGGAGTGCAATGGGGGGTGCATAGGGCGTATAGGCAAGCGATACTTAGGGTTAAGGAACCCTTTGTATCCACAGTTTATATCTAGGGTCTAGGGATCCTTCAGAGGGGTGGGTGCATAGGGGATGCAGTATTTTGGGTTGAGGGGTCATAGGGGGTAGAGGCAGATCTGGGGGTTTAAGGGTACCTTTGGAAGCCTGTAGATTGAAGGCTGAAGGAAAAAGCAGGAGGTTGTGCTGGCGGTGGAGGGTGCGCTGAGGAGGGGGTAGGAGGAGGGCCGGGGGGGGGGAAACAGGGTGTTCCTGCACGAACCTGTGAACGCCTTTCGGCAGGGCCGAGGCGACTATGTTTCTCCTTGTCGTGGAAAGCTTCTTTGTACGGCGAGAAGCGCGTGCTTGGCATACAGCGAGAAGCGCCTGCTTGGCACGGCTAGGCAGGTTGCTCTCGTTCGCAAGTTGTCAAGTGCAACATCCATGGCGCAGGTGTTGGAGCAACGCCGGCAGCAGCGCCGAGTTGCTCTACCCTTCCTGACCAGGTGGCGCTGGCAGCAGCTGCCTAAGCAAATGGAGAGATGTCAAGGCAGTGTAGTCGTGGGTCACATACATCAAGTTGGACGTTGTCTCAGGCGTGGAGAGGTTGGTCTATTCTCCAGCGAGCTGCCAGAGGCGGATCAGATGTGTTTTGCTTTGCAAGCTCACGGAGATGTCGGTACAGATGAAGAGAGTTGCGCTGACCCGGTTTCCGCTGCTATCATGATCGAAGCAGATGTCACCTAACCAGGTAGTCCCTGTCCATCCTTCAGGTGGAGGCCGGCCAGACCCAGGCCACTGAGACCCGGGCTGCCCAGACACAGCAGCCGAGGGAACAAGAGTGGCCCGTGGCTGCGGAGGTCCATGCGCAAGCCGCTGCCTCAGTTCAGGTCACCGAATTGTGTTTGAGTCGTTTTAGGGTTAGACGCAGTTTTCAAGACCTCTGCATCTTTCCTTGCCATCCCCAAATTCCACTCTTTGTCCTGGCTGCGATTGTTCAGCACAGACGTAAGATGCCGTTACAATTCCAAGAATATCCCAAAATTGTATCATGAAAAGGGATGCCCGTCATCATCAGAGGCGTCGGTGTGCAGCACCTCTGCGTCGGCTGCAAGTTCAGGCCTGGTAGCTTCCAGCATTTGTGTAAGCTACTGCTGACACCCACTTGCGCCTCAACTGAGCCTGTACCAAGACGCCTTCTGCTACTGCCAGTAGAATGAGCACTACAGCCAGCACCGAATGCCGTGCAGATGCAAACACCAGGCTTTGCAAAACTGACAGGCCAGCGACCTCCAACGACGCTGGCACCTCATTGAACATCATTGAACAGCTTGCAAAGTGCAGTAGCGTGCAGTCCCAGCAGTGGCGGCTGTAGACGCTAAGCCTCCATACCGTGCGAATGGACCCCCCAGAGATGATTTTCGCACAAGAGCATTCCAGTGTCTGCTCGAGGCCCATAGTCACAGTCATGCAGCCGGGTGTTTCCTTCCGCTTGGAGGCAGCAGGATGACTTGTTCACTGGCACCACTTAAAGTAGAGAGGGACAAAGCATCCGCCGCAGCAGCAGCAGCAGCAATGATGACGAATCAACCATGCAGCGCCAGCTTATTGTTCACCTGGCCACTTTGACATGGGCAACCTTGGTTCAGTTGAAAGACGCGCATGCTGAGTCAACAGCAGTCTTCTTGGTCTAGTCCGGCATGTCTTCCTGAGACGGTCTCCATTCACGAGGAAAACTCTCGGCAACCCAAACCTAGATTTTCGCAGAACAAGAGTACCAGCAAACAGTAGTTGCAAGAATCCATGGCATGTCGCTTTGGCTGTGATCCCCGCCTCTGACGAATGAAAGCGCTCCATGAAGCAACTTGTGAACCCTTCGTGTTGCACCAAGATTAGATGGATAAGGTGCTGATGTGAGTGAATGCCCTGACC